CTCCCAGTGTAATATTTATTGTGTTTCATTAGTTATCATGATTCATACGTGCATTTTATGTTAAATCCCACAGTTTATCCATCATTTTGTGAAAGGAATTGTGTTTCAGAGTCTACTGGCGGTATATGAATATTCAGCAAGCATAGACCAATCAGATGCACCTAAAATCATGAAAATCGACCAATTCTTTCCTATCAAACCTCTACTGGGGTCGTCGATGCCCTCGCGGACTGTTAATTGTCATCTGTGAACAGAAACTACCCTCCGAAAATTGTCTTTCAATTATCGAAACATGCATTGTTGTCCCTCGAAACACAATTAAGTATCGATTATAATGGAACAACATGAGGATGCCATTAGGCTGGAAAACACATTCGTAAATCACTCATGACGCAGCCTGGCATCAAAACATCTCATAGAAATGCTACAGGAAGACCATCCATCAAAAACTGTCACCGACGTGGTCCACCACAGCATAAGCGATTTTACTTCAGCTATACGGAGCAGCTCCACATCATCAACTGGCGCAAACATCACTTAATGGAATCAGAGTTCGCCACGTTCTTCATCGGTGCTCAGGGCGTAGCCCGTCGATCAGCACAAAACGTATAATTCGGTGGGAAAAATGTCGACCGCATATAACCAAGATGGCAAAAAATCCATTAACGTCAACCTCGAAGAATACACCACCTCTTGGGACGGCAACGACTCTTTCAAGAATGCGTGAAGAACAAATCGCGCGTTGGGTGCAAGAACTTCGATCCCAAGGCATTCCTGTCAGCAGGTTTTTCTGCAATGTAAAACGGTTGAAGTAACTAAGGATGTTGGACTAAGCCTCACTCATTTTAAAGCAAGCCACCATTGGATTACGGGTTTTATCAAGCGTTCGAAGCTAGCTAGCTATGCTAGCTAAAACGAGATCTGGGCAAGCAACTTAAGTGGCGCAAGGCGACGTAACCATAGTAGAGTTCAGTATACGAGTTCGACAACTTATTCTAGATAAGAATATTGCCGCTATCTACAATGCTGATCAAACCGGCATCAACTTTGAGTATGTACCGAAGCAAACCATTAACAAGTGTGGAGCGAAGACCGCTTGGATGCGATGCGCCGGCAACGTGAAAGATCGAAAGACAGCAATGGTGCTGGGCGACACCAAGGGGAACAAATATTCCTTCTTCATGTTCCTAAAGTCAAAAGCGTCAACAATCAAGGCGAAAGTGGTTGAAAACCTTACTCTGGGAAATGGCTTTGGACCACGGGTGTGGCCAGAAACTGAAGCGTTGCACTAACGACATCCGTCCCGCTTGTTTGGCAATCCTACGGCATGGTAGAAGAGTGATATTTCCAAACAATTCCTTCACTACTGCTTCGGCAATCGCAAAGGCAAAGATGTGAACTCAATCCTACTCTTGTGGGACGATTGTAGTGCACATTTTAGCGACGACGTCATCGAGTGCGCAAACTCTATGAATGTTGTGCTCGAGAGATTCCACCTACCTTCACTTGGATGTGTCAGCCAACCGATGCTCTCGTGAACTGTCAAGTGATTCAATATTTCATATTTGGTGGTCAGAATTGGAAATACTACTCTGGTCCGATATAGTTGTTGCCTTCGTTTTGACAGGATTAAATTGTGTGACTCGTACCAGGAATAACATAGAATGTGTATGTCACACCAGTAACAAAAATGGGGCCAAAAATGTGATGCATTTTTATTCACTTGCTCAAAGACTTTGTTCATGGAAAATGAGCAGTGCTTTCCATGGATGCCCCTTCCAAATCGAAAGTTCAATGAGTACAGGCACCTCGTAGTCAAAACTATTGCACTACGTGTTGATGGTGGCGAAATCGGTTATAATCGCATCCTTCACATGTGAGGGAGCTGATTATCATTGCACCATGCATTTCATGCATATCTCCACCACATTTTGAAGAAAAAAATGAAAGATTTTGAACCGTATCCACAGGCAAGTCATAAACAAGGTTTCCACAGCATCATTTAGGTCCTCGATTGCTCCATGCACTTCTGATACTGCGACTTCGAATAGAGTTGAAGAATTCTAACACAATGAGATAGAGCTCTCAGCATCTGCTAAGACGCCTGGGGCACTTACCTAATTGCATGTTCAATATCGTCATTCCAGCGCTTCTTTCTGCGTCCAGAGTTGCCTAAAATACATGTAGCATACATTTAGAAAATCCTCCGAAATCAGTAGATGCATAGAAATATAGAGTTGTACAGTACAGTACATCGGATTTGCAATATGACATGAGCACAATGTAGCTCGCTGAGGAAGAACGCTGTCCACGGATCCAAACCCGGGGACAACATCTAAGTGGCGGTTAAATTGATTGACTGGTCTCAAGATGGCACTACACGGCAGTGTGCCAGAGGGCAAGACGGAAATCAAGCTCTCGTAAATGGAGCGGCGCTCCTCGAGCGA